CCGTTTCCAGGGGCCTTCTGATATAGGGTAGATAAATATTTACGCTTCTGTCCGTGAATAATTACTATTTACACTACCACATGTTTGACCACCAAGTGACCTGGGTCTTGCTCTCGCATCAGCTCGCCCGTCCTGCCTGGTTGCCTGGTTGCCTGGTCTTCCGGCTAAATGAACAAGGTGCGGGTGTGGAATAACAGCAGTTAGAGATGAAAAGGCGAACACAGCTGCAATTTCCTCGTTCCCTTGTCTAGCTAGCCTGCTTTCTCGGTTAGTGTGTAGAGCCCAATAATATTATAATGATTCCCTCGAATTAGGCCCCCCCGGCTTGCCGCTCGAATAAGCACCAGAAATGGTAGCTTAATCGGGCAACCATCCCCAGCGAGTGGTAGGGTACGGAAGGGCGACGGCAACGCTCTAAACGAACGAACTAAAGGGCTGAAACGACGCGCCGCTGACGGGCGCCGCCCGCTTCTAAGCCACACCCATGCTCCGTGGGCCTCGTCATGACGTGAGATTCAATTGGAAGAAAGCAACCAAGCATTCGGATGAAAGTACGACGCCCAATCCTGCGGCCGCCACCTCCGCTATCAGCCAGCCCTCGGGCCACCCTTGCACGCACGCACCATGCCAATCCTGCCTGGGCCTGGAAGCGGAGCGCGCCTGCCCACGTATCAGCCAGCCAGGAAGCCCGCAAAGAAGAGAGACAGGCGTCTTCCCTCCGCACCGTCTTCTGCTGGCGAGCTTGGCGCGCGAGCTACAACCAAACTGGGCGTGACCTTGGCGTCACTCTACCTTACTAAGTCTGCACCTATGGAATAAGGTCTGTACCTAAGCAGCTTAGTCCAAGGTAGCCAGAAGGAGAAGTCACCAAAGTCACTTTGGCAGGACCACAGGGGGTTAGGGTTTTGTGTGTGTGCCCTGGAGATGGACTCAAAATGGAATTTCTCGGATTTGTGTATGTGACCAGGCGGCATACTTCACCATGACAAAGGAGATCGCAAACAAGGGGTCGCCGTCACCATCATTTCTCTCAGCATGAGAATATCATACGGCGGCCAGCTACTTAGCAAAACACCATGGCTTCCACCGTACAGGATGGCTGCCCGCACACGACGACCCTGACACACGGCCAGCTTCCCTTTAACCCTATGAGACGGGCGCATGTGCTTGCTCCTATCACGGCACTGGCTTTCTTCAAGACCCAGAGCGGCCGCACCCTTGTCCTAGTGGGGGAAGATGTCTGGGTCAAGGTCTATGACGTCCAGACGTCCGAATTCATGGGCCAGCTACAGATCTTCGACGAGCAGCCTATCCACGGAATCCACATCTCGTTTCCAGATGAAGCCTCTGGGAGGTCAAATATAGGTGTTTTATTCTGGGGCGCGCGCTTGGTGGCATTTCTGCCGGCAACCGCCTTGGATCTTCCAATTGTAGATGGCCGAGCCCGCCAGCCGCGCGAGTTCATCGCGCCGGATTGGATCTACTGCGGCTCGCTCTCACCCTATGACCCGTACAGGGGCGCTCTCGTCACTGCACACAACGAGATCTTGCCGGTATCTATAGGAGCGGATGGCTTGACCCTCAAGTTCGGCCCTCTGGCTGCTCCCTCGAGGCCAGCACTGTATTCAGCCGGCCTGAGTTGGATCTCAGAGCACAGCGTCTTGGTCGCTGGTGGAACAGTGTTCGGCGAGATTGTGGTCTGGAAGTACCACTACAGCCAGCAAATTGAATCTTGTGAGGTCCTCTTTGTGCTCACGGGCCACGAGGGCTCAATATTTGGAGTTTCCATCTCGGGCGAGATCGAGCTCGCCCCTGGCGTCAAAGTCCGCCTACTAGCGACCTGCAGTGACGACAGGACGATTCGGATCTGGGACGTCACCGAGGGGACCGGAGATGTGCGTGCCCCTTTGCAGAAAAAGCACGAGGAGGCGCGAGAGACGGGCTTCCTACCCTTCACCGAGGCTGGTGTGCTCCTAAGAGCCGACTCGGCTCGCTGCCTGGCTGTCGCGATGGGCCATGTCTCGCGGATATGGCACGTCAGATTCTCTGGTCGATCGAACCATTACCTTCCGTGCCAGACCCCGATTGAGGTATTCTCGTTTGGAGAAGACGGGACAAGGATTGCCTGGAAGTTGAGTCTCACCCCCGAGCGATGGCGCGCCGCAGAGGCTGGCGCTCCTGCGACCCAGGAACTTCTCGCAGACTTTCTCCAAAACTGTGGCACAGTTTCTTGCCATGTAGGCAGGAACATTTGGTCAGTTGCCATTTTGGAGACTCAGGACCAGGACCCCTTGATCGTCACCGGAGGTGCGGACGGCAAGGTTGCCGTACTTGGAGGGAAAGGGGACGCGGAGAGCGTCTTTAACGCACCAAGTGAAAGAGCTCCCTTCACTGCGTCTAATCAGCACCTGCATTTTCTGCTCGACCAAGTCCTTGCCTCTCGAGGGACCCCACCTGATGCCGGGAACGAGGGACTCCCGCAAGGGAAGAAGGGTGAGCAGGATGTTTTCAAAAGCTACTGCTTTCTCTCAGACGACTCTCTGCTTTTCACTACAAAGTTTGGACGAGTCCTTAAGGGCTCGTTGACCGGAGAACCAACATGGTCGGAGGTCCCAATCCCACAGAGGTTCCGCGCAGATCTACACAGTTATAACATAGTCCGGAGCCCGGCCGAAGGCATTGCTGTTCTAGGCGCTGCAAGTGGGTGGCTGTACATCTACGAAGCCTCGAAGGGATTGAGAGAGCTTGTGAAGCTCGGTGGCAAGATCGCGGAGATCATGCCGCTTGGGGCCCATCAGCCAACCTTTGGTGCGCTGGTAGGGAGTGGATTTTCGACATTCCTAGTCACCATCCCCGGCAAAGACGAGGTTACCATCATCACGGTGGATGCTTCGGCTGATGTTTTGCAGCCTCTAGTGTGTGCTTTTGAGCCAGAACAGCTATCTTTGGTCACCGCCGCTGAGGAAACTAACAACTGGCTGGTACTTGGCGCAAGAACCGGTGCAGTGGCGGTCTATAGAAGAACTGCAAACACCTTTGCTCTCTTAGGCCAGCGGCGAGATACGAGAACCAAGGAGGCTGTGACCAGCATCACACCCCTTCCTGGCAGCACCTGCCTATTTCTAGCGACCTACCGAGATGGTAGGTATCGCATCTACGCGATCCGGGAAGGAGGCCAGACACCCCCTAGATTAGAGCTGCTGCACGAAGCCTCGCCGCCTCTGACCGTAATCGAAGGGGCCCGGTGCATAACGCGATCAGACAACGAGATCCAGCTCGTTTTGTATGGGTTTAAAGGGAACAATTTCGCCGCCTGGGACGAGACCGCTCACCAGGAGATTGTCTCGGTCGACTGTGGTGGTGCTCATCGGCTTTACGCCTGCAGGTTCGGAAAGCAAGACGCGGCTCGCATGTGCATTGTGTACACGAAGGCGGGAACCATGGGACTATATCGTCAGTCTGCAACCCGCGTGAGAACTCTTAAACCCGGAGGCCATGGGAGGGAGATGAGGGATATTTCGTCCCACGGTGAATTCCTGGCCACCTGCTCGGAGGATACCACGATTCGCATCTGGTGCTGCCGCGGCCGCGATGGCCGCTTGCTCAGAAGCCCCCAATGCCTTGCCGTCCTCGAGAAGCACACCGCGGGGGTCCAGTGCTTGAGATGGTTTAGCCACGACGGCAAGCTCTGGCTGCTCAGCGGCAGCGGGAACGAGGAGCTTTTCCTCTGGCGCGTCTCCACCCTCGACTCTGCCTACCGAGGCTTGGCTGTTAGCTGCGAGGCACGGATGACCGACCGTTCCCCGGACGGTGATCTCCGTATTGTGGACTGCGATCTGAAGCCCTTCCGTCAAGGTGTAGAGGCGAACGGAACCGAAGAGAGCGGGTTCCTCATCTCTTTGGCCTTGTCCAACTCGACCATCAAGACATACCTTTACACTCTCGGTGGCGATAGACAAGCCTCATTTGTCCTGCTCGCGGAGGGTCGCTACACCGGTGCAGCGCTAACCCAGATTAGGATGCTCCCGCGCGAGGAAGCGTCAGCTCCCTTCCAGTGCCTTACCACATCCACCGATGGGCACCTCGCTCTGTGGAGTGCTGTTCTTCCATGCAAGCCAGATGGTGCTGAAGTTCCGGTCAAAACGGAGCTGTCTTTGATTGGGGTAACGAAGCTGCACCAAAGCACGATTAAGAGTCTGGACATGACCGTTCAGCCCGGGGCTCTCTTGATCGTGACAGGAGGCGACGACAATGCCTTGGGACTCCTGGAGCTGGCGAGGGGTAATTCCTCGAGCCCGGAGTTGCGAGTAATCAGCAAGGGTCGGGTGAAGAACGCGCACGCGGCCGCCGTTGCCGGGGTGTGCATTCTTCGGCAGCAAACAAGCCGGACAGTTGAAATCGCGAGCATGAGCAGCGATCAAAGAGTCAAGGTCTGGCGAGCAGAGACCCGCCGTAACAAGCCCGTCAGGATCACCATGTTGAGCGACCGGTATAGCGCTGTGGCCGATCCTGGTGGCCTAGCTCTCATAAAATTCCATGATGATGCCCATGGGCAGATCGATGCGTTAGTGATTGCCGGCGTTGGCATGGAGTTTTGGGCCCTGTTATGAGGGCCCCTCCAAGGCCGCCCTCAACTGACACCTAGAATTGATAAATCGAGACCTAGAGGCATACACCTTGAGAAAAATATATATAGTAGAGCCGCACTGGCTTCCATTAAATTACCGTGTTAGGCCACACTGATACCGCACTTTCGGTACCTATCTCCTCCTCACATACTCTGAATTGGTGTTGCGCCGAGTGTACTGTTTGCTAAGTGGGCGCACAGAAGCAGTGTAAACAAAGCCCCTGAGAGACGTTCTATCAGCCGTACATGACCCGAGCCCCCAAGCCACGGGCGGCACCCTGCGTTTGAGAATAACCTAACAAGAGCTGTACCACATTTAAAAAGGAAGAAAGACTGCCCCACGCACATTCTATGTGCAAAGCGGCAAAAAGGATGATCACGGCCGGGGTCGAACCGGCGATCCCTCGCGCACCTCACAGGTAATAGCTGTAAGGCGAGTGCCCTAACCACTAGGCCACGCGATCTCGTAATTTTCGTGTATTTTACCAGATAATAGCTAATGTTGTACTATCCCCTTGTTGGGTGGCTTCCGGAAAGCTCAGACCCACCCCTAACCCTAGGCGGACCCAATTGAAACGGCCGAGGAGCTTTAGCTTATGAGCTCGCATTACCAGAGCATAGCTTTCTGAGGAAGCTGTTCCTGTCAACATGAGTGCTGCCCGATCTGCCACTGTGGTCCTAGGAAAGGTGGCCCTGCCGTGCACGCCCGTGCGGATGTGGTATGTTTAGCGCCAGCCAGCAGCTACCGAGCTCTGTTTCTTGTGCCCTCGTGCCTCGTTTACTTGGGAAGCGTACCTCTAGAGAGCTGGTCTAACATGAATCTAGTAGCAGAGTCGGCACGACATCATTCCGAGCTCCCCTCCACGCTGTATCTGTCCAGCCGCGTCTCATCGACGGCCGGGGCACCGGGCGGTCTATCCCCGGCCAGCCTCTGGCGCGCCTCTTCTCCCAGAGCACCCCGCAGCACAAAAGCGCGAAGCCCAAGGGCGCGGCCAAGTCGAAGAAGGACAGCGGCGCAAGCAAGGAGGGGGCCTCAGGCTCCTCAGGTTCCAAAGACGAGAAGGGCCGCGTGCAAGCGAACCCGGAGGATCCCTTCGACCTGACGGACGTGGAGCAGGCCTTCGATCGGCTTGGGCGACGCCATGAGGAGGAGCTCAAGCAAATGCGCAGCGGCGGGCGATTCACACCCGAGGTGATTGGGGCGCTGCTAGTACGGCCCGAAAAGGGCAGTTCGGCGACTTATCCGCTGCGTGAGGTCGCGCAGGTGGCACCCAAGGGCGGGCGCACCATCAGCATCCTGGTGTCGGAAGCTCGGCTGGTCAAGGCGGTGCAGAGCGCGATTCTCAATAGCGAGAACTACAATCAGCAGCCGCAGGTAGCTGAGGACAACGAGCTGGAGCTTCTGATGAAGGTTGAACCGGAGCCGACCGACGCGCTGGTCAAGCGAGCCAAGGAGGTCCTGCACCGCTGGCGCGAGGAGGTGCGGGCTGAGCGGCACAAGCGGGACGTGGTCAACAAGAAGTGGGTCGCCGACAAGGTGTTGTCGACTGACGACAAGCGGAAGCTCGACAAGGAGCTCCAGAAGGTTCAGGATGCTCGGATGAACGCCATCAACAACAAGGAGAAGGAGGTGCTCAAGCTCATCGCATCGTCGCAAGGCAGGTGAGGGTCCGTAATACCACATATGGATGGGATGTGTATAGATAAGGTAGCCTAAGTACACGGGCCGGGACGGCCCTCTACTGTTACAACGGATGCGCCTTTACTTCTCCAACCCGCTTCCTCCTCTAGGCGCTCTGCTTTCTCTGATCCTTTCCTTTCTTGCCCGTCTCTGGCTGCGAAGGAGGCAGCTTTGCCTTCGGGAGCAGCGACTCTAGCTTGGCATTGAACATATCCATTTCCTTTTTCCGGTAGTTGACGAGTCTTCCCTGGTAGTTGGCCACCACCCCCATAGTGTCTCCGACCTGGGCGTACTTGGGCCCGAGCCTCTCGTACTTGCCCAGGATGGTCGCATCCACAATGGCCGTCCGGGTCTGGTCGAAGGCACGGGGCGTGACGACGCCCTGCTTGTTGAGCCACTCCTTCTGCGCTATGGTGTCGAAAAAGAGCGGCGCCTTTCCGGCGTGCAATCTGCGCACCCTCCTGTCGGGGTCGTCGTACACAACCGAGCTCTCGAACGGCCGGCCGCCGCCAAGGATGCGCATGGCCCGCATCGCGCGCTCGACCTGGCTCTGGGGGAACTTGGAGGCGATCGCGGGGCCGTAGCCGGTAAGCGTTTCTAGAGACGTCTGGGGCGCGTATGGTGTTGGAACGCCCTGTTCGCTTCGATTCAGGATAGTCTGCTCTTCCGGGGACCACCCGGCCTTGTCCTCGCCGTCAGCCGAAGCCTCCTCTGGCTTGCGCCGCCGCCTTCTCTGCTGCGTTGGGCGGTTCCCCCTCGTGAATCCCGGACGGCCGCCTGTTCGAGGGCCACCTGTTCGTGGGCCTCCCTCAGCACCCGGTCCTCGGGGGGGCCTGAAGCCGCCTGGCCGACCGGGGAGGCCAGAAGGGGTCTTCCTCACGCGGAGGCTTCGCAGGTTGATGACCTTGGGGCCTTGGGGGGTGGCCGCAGGACTGGAAGAGCGGAGGGACCGCGCGTCGACGCCATCTTTGGGGACCGAGGGCCTCAGTGCGCTGAGCTTCGAGGCTGCAGCCGCCGAGCGCTCACGGAAGCTGCCCTGCGGCTTGTCGTTGTCTCGCTGGCATTGCGACGTGGAAAAGGGCCGAGCCCGTAGCGGGATGAGTCGGATCGATCGACTGACATTCTGCCGTCCTCGCCCGAAGGCGAAACGGATTGCCGGTCGATGCATTGGCGGTTGCTTGGTCGGAACTGAGGAGCTGGTGAGTTCAAAGGAGCTCTCGAGCGGCCAAAGACGACATTCGAGGAAGAAAATGCTTTGCACGTGTTGATTGGACGGTGCTCTGGTGGGTGGGGCGGCCCGGTTCACTCCCCGGCAGGCAAGTGCCAGACCAACTAATACCTAGGCGAGGTAGCACCTACCCGTGCTACTGTAGCTGCTCCAACATCAGGCCGGGATCCGGCTGCAGGAGCATCGTGCCGCGCCAACGACATCTGTACATGCAATGCCGACACGAGCGACCCAAACTGCGAAGCAGGAGAGGACGAGTGAATGATTGGTACCACACTCCTAAGAGAAGCTCGAAACCTCCACTTTCCAGTTGCTAGGTTCTTGCAGACTCCCTCAACCCGAATTTAATGATCGTGCACGAAATCAGCGCATGACCCATCGCGGTCATACCCTTTCGACCTATATTATTGGCAGGGCCTTGTCGCATCACTCCGTCGACTGAAGCGTCCAGCGAAAGATGACGGGCGGCACCGGTTCTTCGTCCTCCTCTCCGACGAAGCCTCCCCGGCCATCGCGGCTTACCGTCCCTGCTGCCTCATCCTCCAGCCCCTCCTTACGACCGCTCTCGCGCTCTCCATCGCGATCGCCGCTTCGGAGCCCTACGTCGCCGCGGCCTACATCACCTTTCCAGCCGCCGCCCCTCCACCTGACGATCCGCTTCAGCACCTCCATCCCTGATGTGCAGCTAGACATCCTCACGCCGACGCAGACGACGGTGGTGGCGCTCAAGCATCTCATCCGCGGGCGGCTCTCCGAGACAGACCCCGTGTCGGCCCGCGGCCGTTTGCGCTTCATTCACGGCGGCAAGATCTTGCCAGACTCGGCGGTTCTCAGCAATGTTCTACGCCCGCTGCCGCCGCCGCCATTCGCCCAGTCGGCACGGGAGGCGAAGGAGGCGGATCCTAGGGGGAAGGGGAAGGGCGTTGAGGGGCGGCATGGGGGGATACAGCGGGTCTACGTGAACTGCAGCATCGGTGATGCGCTGACCGAGGCTGAGATCGCGGCCGAGGCTAAGGCCGCAGCCCAGCAGCCCAGCGCGGCACCTGCACCCGAGGACGGGCTCGCCATGGCCGGGAAGCAGCTCGGCCGTGCGAGTCCTGCGCTGCAGGTAGACACTAGTGCTGCCGCGGCCGAGGGACTGCGGGCACGGACGCCGAGAGGCTTCGACAGGCTCTTGTCGGCTGGCTTCACCGCGGCCGAGGTGAATCAGCTGCGCTTGCAGTTCCGCTCAATCCAATCGTCGCGACACACGCCCGACACAATGCCATCTCCGGATACGCTCCGGAACATGGAGGAGATGTGGATGGAGAACAACAACAGCGGCGCCGGGCTTGGGGGCGCCAGCGGGCTGGGAGGCGCAGAGGACGGCGCGGGCGGTGCAGAGGGGGAGGAGTTTGGCATCAACGGAATTCTCGACGTCCTCGTCAAGGGTATGTTCGTAGGGTTCATGTTCCCGCTTGGGACGATCGGGTGGCTCATACGGGAGGAGAATCTCTGGTCCCGGCGGTGGCAGGTATTTGCAACCTTTGGGTTTGTGGTGAGTCTCACGATCGGCATGATAAAAGCGCTGTCGGGGGACAAGTAAGGGGCTGGGACTCCGTTCGCCAGCGATGTACGAGACAGCAAAATTATGATACCCCATTCTCGACCGTTAATTTTTTTTTCCCTTCCCCAGCTGTCGTTGACTTTTCTTTCTACGACTGCATATTCTCTCGCGGCAGTAGCGCTGCTCCCATCGCAGGTTTGAGGCAGGGGGCTATGCCCCACAGGGGATATCTCGATGTTGCGAGTGCAAGTCTGCCCGAACCCATTCATGCCACTGATCATATCTCGCAGGATCTAGCGAGCACGTGAGAGATATCGAGACCCGTTTGACTTAGCAGCTCGGTGACCGAAAAGGTTCCGTCCACGGGGGCTTTCTCGGACCGCTGTCCCGAGTTTGTCTGGACCCATCTCGCTGATCGCTACGGAAACAAGCCGTCAAACGGGTCTGGCCCTTCAGAAACACCAGTCGCTGGCTCGCCACAGACCCATCAAGGTATCGCGCAGAGATGGCCATGATCTCGTGCCAGTGCAATCCTTTCCCCGGATTTCACCACGCTTGATATGCGGTCCGCTAAGGCGGGCCCGCCAAGGCTCCAAGCACATGCAAAGGTAGCAATCAAGAAAAACAGCAGGCATTTGGGCCCTCATGCTTCTGGTAATGCCGTGGATCCGCCGTCTGGGAACAACTCCTGATCTCCGATCGCCTATGCTCTTCACATGCCTGTGGCGCGCCCTAGTCGTGCGCTCTTCGCTGCGTTCTTCGGTATTCCGCGGTACACTGGCCGTAGAGCGATTCTGGGGACAGGACCGCCAGGTGCCACTGCTTTCCGTTAGCCATAGACCAATTCCCGGGACGCCTGATTAGCCCTTCCGGCTCGTCGTGGTCTTGACTAAGAAATGCAATGCAATGAATGGGAACTGTGTGAGATCGACGGCGAGAAAATCTCTAGCATCCATCACATTCCCACGCAGCTTGTCCTAATACCACGAGATGGAGCCCTATTTCACTG